ATTATTAATATTTATATATTTATATATATATATATATATATATATAATAATATAATAATAATAATTAAATAAAAGATTTTATTCGCGTGATATATATATATATATATATTAAATTCGTATCTAGATCAATTTTTATTCGATAATATTTATATATATATATATTATCGAATAAAAATTGATCTAGATACGAATTTGATTCGAATACGATTTCATTCGATACTGTCGAATAAAGATTGATCTAGATACGAACTTAATTCGAATAAAATTTGATTAGACACCATCGGATAAATATTCGAACTAAGATTCGTCTAGATACAAAATTCGAATAAAATTTTATTCGAATAAATAATAATAAAGTGCTTTTTTCACAGTTTTCTTTTCAAATTCTTTTCTCAAGATTTATCCTCAGTATCCGCGATTAAAAAACTGATTTTGCAACCGAGACCATGGAAGACTGATTACAATGCATTTGCAAAAATAATTATAGTAATTGGAGGTTGTTCAAATGAGTGCAACAGGATGATCGACGAGTCGAGGTATTAATTATAAAAGATCTTTAAATCGAATCGGCCAAAAGAAAATGAAATAATATATGGATTTTCGGTGTACAAAATATTACCATTAATATTTGCAAGTGCATTGCAAGTGCATTTATAAGTGCACTTTTCGCATTGCAATTTTGTGAGCTGACAAATTTTCTCTTGTAGTACTGATTCATCTCACTGTACCTTTCTCACCTGATCTTATCGTTCGAATATCAGATTTTAAACATTAAAACAGCGTGAAAAGCGCGGAGATCGCTTTTTACCTAAAAAAAGATCGTTCGATTGCTGAGACGAGGCGAGGTCGACGCACCAATTTTCCGGATGCGATACAGCAATGCTATTTACTTTTGTAATTGTTGCGTTGAGCTTCTGTAACCATGCGTGGCAAACGCACGATAGTCTCGCGTAGTCCCGATCGAATTTATATTCGTCAATATTGGAACGGCACCGTGTCATCCGTAGAAAAGCAAATACTCTGCGTAACGTGTAAATATTTCGTCGAAATATTCGCCGTTTTTAAATCCAGCCGCGCTCCCGGCAAACTTTCCCGTTGACAACCCGTGTTTGGCTTCGAACACTCGGTTATCATTAATGTTCAACTTGCAGGATATATGTATATTATACCTAGCGACGATACGAGAGTGGAGTTTGCGGAGTATGTACGATGTACTGTGCTCGAGGTCTCGAACGGGTACAAGTTATCGGGAGACATCAGCGACGGCGTGACACAGGCGAACACATATAAGATCGCTCGATAGCGCTGAGATCGCTGTGATTAATAATATGTCTGAACCGTCAAAGGGATCGTTCAAGCCAGCATAAAGAAACTTTTTCGCATTTCTGCTTCCCAAATCGGGACAATTACCTTTCACTTTTTTTTTTCCCGTAAATTATAGCATCTTCGCGCGACGCGCTGTTTCCGGCACTGAATACTCTTACGAAATCGATGGATATTTATTATGTATGCGAAAGAATATTTTCGGTATCGGTTGACTATTTTTGACCGATCAAAATTATCGAAAGAAACAATTCACTTTTATTTGATTTCTGCTTCTTGCAATTATCTCGGACAAATTTCATCTTACAGAAAGATTCACGGATAATGAACGTGTTCGAAATACTTCCCTGATCTAAAAAATTAAAAGGAAATTATTTACCGTGATTCACTTTTCGAGTGTTACTTTTAACTTTAATCAAAACCATAATGCTTGTCAATTACTAATTTCAACGCTGTCAATTGAGCTGTTTATTTTGAAAGTGGCATAAGTCACTTCACCGTAATGAAAAGCGGTGATTTTTGAATGTTTGTACGAAATTATTTATACTGAGAAAAATATCAGTATCTTGAGATCACGAATACAAGTAAATCTTCTCGAAAGTTAGCATCCATATTTTTATATCGACTATATATTAATATATCGACTTGAAAACAAAGTGACTTATGCCACTTTCAAAATAAACGGCTCAATTACGGAGTGTTCTAATTTTTAGAAACTGATAACTACTCGCGCGATGCTTGTTGCATGTGCATAGCGGTATTTTGCAGATTATTTTTCTATTTTGCAGATATGCATTTTATGCAATTTATGAATCTTATTATTTTAATTCTGTGAATATTATTTTATTATCGAAATGGGTAGAAAATGAAAATATAAATAAATAACTCGCTGGAATTATTACAGAATGAAAGAAATTGATCTCTCAGTTATTATATAATAATATATATTAATAATAATAATAATTTATATATATAATATAATATAAATTATATATATATATTAATATAATATATATATAATAATAATAATAATAATATATATATTATTATATTAATATAATAATAATATTAATAATATTATATAGTAATATATTATTATTAATATCACATTAATATTAAAATATTAAATATTATTAGTAATAAATGGAATACAAAGAAACAACGGTAGAAACTGTGAACGCGATGATAAAGACTGTCAATCTGACTTTTACGGAACCGATGCAAAAATTCAGCATTTTTGCACAAAGATTCATGATACACGTATTACGAGAACGGTGACAATTGAATTGTCTGTTCCATAAATATTACAGCAAATCGCTCTCTATTTTGTCGAGTGCCAAACCTTGAAACGACGATTAATTTATATCAGCCGCAGATTGGGAGTTCAGATTGGAGCCGATTAACGGTAAATAATTCGGATGAAAATTACGGCCACGAAGACCGCTTCACAATGACTACAGTCGACTAAGCAGTCATCGTTACACAAGTATCCAGTTAATAGGTGATTATCACTGGTTTGCGGTGGTTATGACGTTTACAGCGAGCGATTCGCTCGGAACTGAACGGGATAATAATACCAGTAGACGAAATAACGGTGAAAACATCTATTAACCCGTCAGGAGTTTGAAAACCGGAACAGGTTGAAAACGAACGCGTTGCCCGTATCGCATAATTAAACCGCTTTCGGCGTTGTTATGCACCTGTCTCGTAATAATTGACATTTTCGCCGGGCAAACGGTATCCGTCCCCCGAAACGTTCACACACGGCTGCCTTGTCATTATGGTGGTCGGTATAACATTTTCCCGTTGTCGTTGATGTTTTTTCTTTTTTCTTTTGGAAAACTTGTACGAAACAATCGACAGCCGCGTCTCTTCGATTTGTTACCAGCGAAAAAGGAATGATAAACAAAATCGTACTGTTCGAAAACGTGGAAATCCCACCGCTAAATACATCAAGTATTAATACCGAGCTTGCAATTAGAGCGAGTTCCGACAGTACAACGCACAATTAACGGTCTGCAAAATCAATTAACAGCCTTCATATTCTATAAAATAATGAAGCTTCTTCGTTTTACATTTTTTGCTAGAATTTTTTAGGGTTTCGATATTACTCTCTTTTTTCGTCTTTTATCCGCGGCTTTGGCAGCGAGGATTTTAATTAAAACATTGCCATTCGTGGAAGTAATTAAGAGATAAAAACAAGAACAGTATGGTTACGGAAGCCGAAGATAACCGCGGTGCATTTAATTTAAAAGCATGTTTGTGTTTTTATCGCTGTAGAAAACAATGCAGCGAAATTAATTTGGAATCGTGTTTGTATGGTTATTAACATGGAATGTGACAGTGAATGTTATTTAGTATGATATTTGCGTGCTTACTGAATGAAGTGAATTTTATTGAGAACAATATTTGTACCCTGATTAAAACAGAAAATTGAACGAATCAATAAGTGGAAAATGATCAGTGGAAATATAATTGTTTCGACTTATTCGCTAATATTCGTGGGCCGGAAAAATTCGAGATGCAATCAAAGCGATACTGATTTTACATGTAACAACAAATAAAAAGCGTAGATCCAATTTAAAAATTCGTGGACCACGCGTACGACTGAATACGGCTTGATTACAGTGTCATTGAATTATTTATCCCGTGCCCTTATTCCTTCAATCTTCGTGAATATTAATCGATAGAAAACGAAAGATCAATATTAACGCGCCGTTATTAGAAAAACTAAAAAAATATATATATAATTAAAGAATTACTCAATTTTTAATGTTTAACTAATTGCTTTATTACGACTCCCCTTGAATTTTATTTCAAGCAAATCATTGTAAACTAAAGCGTTAAGAAAATAAAAAAGAAAGGAAACTAAAACTGCACGTCAATAATGTAATAACAAAATATGAAGCTAATCATGGATTCATACAAAATATTAAGGAATTTAATCAATTGAAAATATTTGTTAAATCGAAGAGACAATTTTCATAGCCTGAAAGTGTTGTAAAAAAAGCAATATACAATAACAATAACAATATAAAAGTTAATTTTAAACAGAAAAAGTAAGTAGAATAATATTAAAATGTTAGCTGGAAAAATATAAAAATGGAGGATATTCTTACAATAAAAAGCATTAAAGGAGAATAGTAAAATTAATGATTAATTAACGTTCGTATCATTAATTATTGTGCTGCATAATGCAATTGATTAGCGTGCCGTGTAGAAAACAGCGTATAACACGCTCACGAGTACAGCATAAAATTAGCGTAATCTATATCGATGTAACGTTTAACGTATTAATTTCTGTAAGGCATACATTAGAGCCGGCAGAAACGTGTAGATGCATATTTTATAGTTCACTCACCATTGATAACGTGTACGTTGACGCTGGCCTTCTGCGCCACGGTGGGCACACAACTGTAGATTCCCGAGTCGTGTAGTTTCGCATGACTGATACTCAATCTGCAATAAAACGAAATAGCGGTATTCACGTTAGCGAGAAATATTTGAACCGTATTCTTCAAATCTGATTTTTAAATGCGGGCTTGTTGCGCACGAGGCGAACGAATTCACTGATCGAGGCATTCGACTGTGCTTTCATGAGGGAAAAATAACAAATTATGGTCGCCGCTGGTGCGACCGAGCACAATGCATATACCAGATTTTTCCATAATTCGTGTACAATAATATCTTGAATTTCGCAATATTCGCAATATCTTGAACCAACATAAATTCATGGAAATTATAATTATTTCGTTGCACAGTTAATTGCGTACACATCGACAAGATTTGTGCACGTTTAGGATTATTATTTCGTCGAGAAATCATTTTTTATTATTCTTTATTCTTTTTGTTACGTTTAATATTAATATATCTATTAATATAATATATCTATTAATATCTATTAATATAATATTTAATATTAATATATCTATTAATATCTATTAATATAATATTTAATATTAATATATCTATTAATATCTATTAATATAATATTTAATATTAATATATCTATTAATATATCTATTACATTAATATGTAATAGATTTAATATATCTGCAGATATTTTCTTCGCACGAAAAGATCTTTAACAATTGAATGAAACAAATGTTGTATCGAACAATGTTAAATACTATGCCATGGCCAGTAATAATTCTTCCTTTTTTTAATGAAACAATAAAATATAGTAGAATGAAAAAAGTCGAGTGGCGTAAGATTAGAAAATTAATAACTCATTTCAAGAACAACAGTATCTGCAACGTTAACGTTAAATTATTAATGCGGAGTGGTTTTCAGATCGCACAGATCCTAAATCATANTTCTTTTTGTTACGTTTAATATTAATATATCTATTAATATAATATATCTATTAATATCTATTAATATAATATTTAATATTAATATATCTATTAATATCTATTAATATAATATTTAATATTAATATATCTATTAATATATCTATTACATTAATATGTAATAGATTTAATATATCTGCAGATATTTTCTTCGCACGAAAAGATCTTTAACAATTGAATGAAACAAATGTTGTATCGAACAATGTTAAATACTATGCCATGGCCAGTAATAATTCTTCCTTTTTTTAATGAAACAATAAAATATAGTAGAATGAAAAAAGTCGAGTGGCGTAAGATTAGAAAATTAATAACTCATTTCAAGAACAACAGTATCTGCAACGTTAACGTTAAATTATTAATGCGGAGTGGTTTTCAGATCGCACAGATCCTAAATCATAATTTCTTTGATTTATAATAGCGACAGAAATAGCGTCGAATAAATTGATCATAGTATGTCAGGGTTAAATGAAGTAAACATCAGCGCATTTTATAAAGTTGTGGGCATCCATTGATTCATTTACGTTTTAATATAATCCAAGGCTTCCTGCAGCTCGGGTTTAATGGAAATAAATGACGTCAACCCCTTCGTTACCAACTTAAGTTTTCACGGTAGAGAAAATACGTATGAAATTCATATATATAAAAGCATCACGTTGAACAAATCTCTTATAAGATCACAAACATTATTCCTTATATTTTTTACTTCCTGATTCGACTGCAATTTTCAACAAAATCGAGCAGCATTTTCAAAATTTGTACGTTTACGTGTTAATTTGTAAACAATTAAAGTAAATCTCCGAAATACAAGAGATCATATATATATATATATATATATATATATATATATCGATAAGAATTAGTAATCAATTTTATACAATTTAGATTTTATATTATATTGTTAAAAAGTTATTCTAAAATTATAATTAATTAAATTAATAATTATTCTAAAATTTTAGTCTAAAATGTAATACAACTTTTTAAATTCTAAAATATAATAAAAATGTTCACAAAATATTTCAAATTAGCGCAATTAACAAAACTTGCAAATTAATGCAAACTGCAAAATTTATTAGAAAAATAAAGAACGCTGTAATTACCGCAGGCAGTGGTTTCAATTGCATATTCTAAACGTCTGTCAGACTTTATTTTTATAAAAATTTGGTAAGACGAGTGCGACAATAAAATAAAAATTGTGTAATGTAGAAGACACACAAATACCAACGCACTGAACTATCAACAATTAAATAAAATCTACTCGAAGAATGTCAGAAAACATTCGAAAGAAGCGATCGAAACAAAAGCTTCAAAGATAGATGAGAATTGCCGGATCGTTTTTCCGCCAACAACGGGTATTATTCTTCTCGAGCATTCTATATCTCGAACGTGCGAAACTAATCAAACAATCACGGCGCAGAACAGTATACATATCCAAGAGAAGCACGTTGGAATCGCTGGCCGCCGATCTGAAAAATTTTCCGAAGCGTAAAGGAATAGAACAAACATTTGCTTTGGAAGATACGATTCGTTCCGGTATACAGCTTCAGGATTGTAAGTTTGCGAGCCAATATTTGCAAAGATATAACCAGACTGATCTTCGAGTAAAAGTTTCATACTACTTATCTCACGCGCATCCGACATTTTCCCGCCGCGTTGTACATGGTAAAAGCTAAATATCGCACTGTGTGGAACAGAATGCAACGAAAAGCGGAAAAAAATATTGTCCCATCGAATGCAGGCATTTATAAATATTCGATACAGAATAAGTAACGGAATCCATTTCTCAATAATATTTATAAATAACAATATAATCATAAAATGATACAGTATATGAAATATATAAAATGATACAACAATGAAAGATATATGTATAATTATGAGATGTAAATGCAATTATGAAGTACAAATATAATTATGAAATACAGATATAATTATGAAATACAATTGTAATTATGAAATACGGTTATTACGTATAAAAGAACAAATATTCAATTGAATTCCTAAATCATAATCATAAAGATATAAATTGTAAATTAAATTAAGACTATACCCTACACGGTAGCAC